AGCACATATAATAATTTTGAATGTTATATATATATATATATATATATATATTGAATAAAAAACAGACCACGTTAAGATTCCATGTAATAAGCTATTTCACCATAACCCCTTTAACAGGGTTCTGGATCATCAGACTTTACTTCCAAAAGCTGAAATGATATATATATATATATATATATATATATATATATATATATATATATATATATATATGCGTGTATCTATGTATATTGAAGCATATCCTCGAATAATATAGACATATTATGGTTATTTATTTTTTAGAAAAATCGTTTCTAGTTTCTTATTTAGCTTCTTTTCAAACCCATCAAGAAAGACACCTTAATTTTTCTTAACCCAAATACTATTCTAAATAAACATATTTTAAATGACATCGAAAGTACTTTTTAAACTTTATCGTCTGAGTGTTAAATTCACCAAGCTTTCTTTTTTCATTATGGGAATCATCCCCATTAGCTTCGTCTTCTATTAGTAAAAAGCAATTTCCACACGGGCAACTTTTTCCCAAGAACTGCTACATTGAGGGTACAGACACCCGGTAGTATGTTTTCCAGATCTTAACCTCATCATGTCGGATATTAATTGTTAGTGTTTCTACATAAACTCATGAATTGCTCTTCGTATAGAACTCAACACAGTAAACAACTGTTATTAATGGCTCGTGTTCTTTGTATTGAGTAACAAATATTTTTCTATTTAACAAAATATTCGTGGAATTTTCAATGATAAATATAGGGTTTAGTTTGCTGGCTTTAATAAGATATATTAACATTTTTAGGAAAATAGATTAATTGATTCGTTTTCCACGGCTTATCGACCCTATGCAGGTTATGTAAAGCCAGAAAATACTTTTACATTACAGTCTTTGGTAATACAAAACTCACAGGTATTACCAGTTATTCCAAATCGGTTACAGATACTGACCAGGCTCGATGTTATTTCACATCGGTAATCTTATCAGAACCGGTGTGTAAACGTGGAGTGCCCGTAAGCCGGAAAAATACAATTGAATTGAACTGACTGACATTGGAAGACTGCATTTTATATTTTGTAAATGTCATGCACACGGAATATCGCGTTTAATATTACAATTATTTCCTGATTAATCAATTCCCCATTTGTACAGATTGCGGAATGTAAAGAATGCATGGAAATCCTACAGATGAGTCTTTTGACATGCGAACAGATATGATGTTTACAAAGAAAATGCGCTATCATTTGCAATAGAAAAATATGTATGCAAACTGGCTCGGAGCTGCTCACATTAAACTGCAATAAATTATCGTCCTAAATTGGAAACGAGGACACGCAAACAAATCACGATATCTGCAGCCATGAAGTTGAAATACTACATTGAATCCATTGCCAAGTCTGAGACTAAAAAGATTGTTTCACGGGGTCGTGCTAGACTATTTTTCTCGATAGAAACTATCTTATTCATTAGAGGACACATCATCGAGTGATTAGTGGGTTAATGCATATTTGAAATTTAGTTAGCGAAAAAATTTCGCCTTTTTAAGTCATTAACATCATTACTTTATTTATTCTATGAATGATTCATTGTAATATAAATTCAACTGCACCACATATTTCATTATATATATATATATATATATATATATATATATATATATATATATATATATATTTGCCAATAACTTCCTGACTACAGAACGGTGCTGCTGACTCCACTTGGACTCAGAAAGGGCTACTAGAGGGTTAAGACCTGCTTTCTAATATATATATATATATATATATATATATATATATATATATATATATATAAGCCTGTTTCGCTGTATCACAGCTCATCAGTGTGACTAGAAATCTGATTGCTTCAAGCCAGGATCGAAACACGACCGATTTGGCGTCAGTAAGAGACTCTACTCCTAATCACTCAGCGCACGGAAGAGAAAAAGCAATCTTTTAATGTATTATATACGCGATGTATATAAACGTCAAACCAGCAGCCAGAGCGCTCAATTCATAACTGAAGCGTTATAAGCAGGATCTGCCACGATATAGAGCTCAATCGAAAATAGAAAATTTTCGTTCTTTGACAGGATTCGAACCTGCATCCTATATATCCTATATATGACGTCATTTGTTTACATTCGATACGCCAGAGTAGTTATGAATGTACGAGATTCATGGAAAGTTGGAGTTTATAAGCAGTAAATTCGACCTTGTCTACCGATTGGTTCTTTGTAGCTCAAGCGGTAAAGGCACGTCAGCGTATATGACGGTTCCGTATAGGATGCAGGTTCGAATCCTGTCAAAGAACGAAAATTTTCTATGAAAATTTCTCGGACATTCAGGCCGGTAAATGTTATTTAATACTGTTTATCATAAACAGAGCATTTGCTTAAATACTTGTATCTATAAAATAACAACGTTAAACATAAAAATATGTCTTTAATTTATATATATATATATATAGTTGTATTGACGTGACTTTGTGATCGAGAGTTTCACGCATTTGCGATCGTCAGAGTTTAAATATATGATTCCAAATTGCGACAAAAGAAGTCCCATGTTTCAAAACAAGAGCCGAAAAACTTCAATATAATTATTTAAATTAAATTGAGTTAAAATAAGCTCTGTTCCATCTTCAAGCGAAATTTTTTTTGGGAATATATATATATATATATATATATATATATATATGTAAAGAAATAATCATACATAGAATCAATCAGCAATATTAATGCGATTAATGGCGAAATCACTTCGCTAGTAGAACATAATGTATGCATTAAAATACTGCTAATCCATTGAATGATATAATCCTCATTTATAAAATTGTTGTCAGATGTTTCTTGTGTATATTTTTTAAGTTAAGCAAGTACATTCGAAGATCCATGTCTCCATCATCAGGCTGTGATATTTTTCCTTTAAAGTTAAAACTTGAAGAAGAAATAATTGTTTGGAGACCGAAAGATGTTTTATAAGAATGTGCTATTTATTGTCGATTGTACAATCTCGGAACGTGCTAATCGCAACTGTAAAGGACAAAATTCCAAGTGAGAATTTTTATATGAATTTTGTAATATGGTAAATCCACGAATTATTTTTTTTACAAGTGTTTTTCAGTTAACATGACATGAACTAAGTATATAGTTCAATTAATATAGTGATATGTCTTAGTAGTTAGGTTTTTTTTTTCATACTGCGGGATCAATTGTTTTTTTTTTATAAACATATAATATTAGGCATATATATATATATATATATATATATATATATATATATATATATATATATATATATATATTATGAAAATTTCTCTGATTTAACCAGTAGAGAAGACACTATTTATGAATAAATATGACAATAGGAAAACTGGTAATTGCTGACGCCTTTCGTCCAATGTGGACTTTATCAAAGCAAAATACGAAAATGAAATTAATTGAATAAAGTAACTACTAAAAACAATAACAGAATGTAACTAGCAACTGGAATTTAGAGAAACGCTATTTTCATATTATTTATAAAATAACTGTTATAAATAACTGCTCCTCCCAATATATTGGAGAAACAAGTAGAAGTCTGAAAAAACGCATTTATGAGCACCAAAGAGACCTCACAAAAAACAACTTAGTTAATGCACTAGTCATACATAGAAATAAATTCAACGATAATTTTGATTTTAAAAATGCTACACTCATAAAAAAAGAAAATAACTCACTCAGAAGGAAAATTCTGGAGAGTGCCGCCATATAAAATTACCCAAATATTAATCTACGCCCAGGTTTTTTCCCCATTTCACCTTTCTTAACAAAATTACTGCTCTTACAAACAAATATACACAACAGATTCATAAAATCGCAAGAAAATGGTTGAATACATCAACACAGATATAATGACAATATTCTCCACACGTGATAAATACTGACGTTATTTTTCAGTTAAAAATATGAAAATAGCGTTTCTCTACATTCCAGTTGCAAGGAAAATTCTGTTTTTGCATTTATTAGTTAATTTAGCTGACTGACACGAATGTTAACTCCCATTCTAGCAGGAAAAAAAATCGATAGCTGCATTCGTCAGAAGTGTGAAAAATTTAGATATGCATGGCACTTTACTCCAGTTGGCTCATTCGCTTGCTTAAACTCAACGTTAATTCTGATTCCGCAGAACTGGCTTGGGTGTGAAAAGACAAGAAGTAAGGCATGTAGCAACATCAGCACGGCAAAGGGCACTTCTTTAAAGGCAAGGAAGGCCACAAATATTTTAAGTTAAGTGATAGCAATCGTATGATTTTTGAATCAAGCACGGGCAACGCCGGGCCATGCTGCTAATATATATATATATATATATATATATATATATATATATATATATATATATATATATATATATATATATTCAGATAACAAACCCATTGAAAAATGGATAATTCCAAGAACCTTCGAATTAAGGGAAATATAAACTAGAATTTTTCTGTATATATAATAACATTATTATATATATATATATATATATATATATATATATATATATATATATATATATATATATAAACCAATAACTGGGGCAGTGATACTTTATGTCATGTCAAATAGAATTTCTCCCAGGTATATTTAAAGAGATAAGAATAATTCAGGCCCCATAAAAAATGATACGGTATTTTCAGGTGCTATACGCTCCTCCAGATGTCGCTAGCTTGCTTCTCATCGACAAACCGATCGATGAGAACAACACAACTTTATTTATTACGATAATGCACGAAAGCTCACTTTGGTTCTCACAATCTTAAGGCATTCACTCTGTGACTAAGGTGAGTATCAACAACAGACGCCCATCAGCGCCAGTAATGTTGTCTGTCGATCGATATATGATCGCATTGTTTGCTACCGACAGTCTCGAATTTTCGTCTCCAAAACTTATTCACTGAAACACTCATTCAGATGGACGCTGTGAAAGTCCTGTTTTGCTAGAATCACCTTGCAATTGTTGCCGGTTACAAAGAAAGCAGAAGT